GGGTTTTGAGGTCACAAAACCAGATTTAACACTTGTATTTTAAGGGTCACCATGACATTTAAGCAAACTTGGGCAAATAATCCAAACCCTGGATAAAAATATCAGATCTAATGTCTAAATTAAATAGGCCTACTACTGATACAATAATAACAAGGGGTGGAAGTTGTTATCAGGTAGATATTCTGAGCCCGGACTCTAGTGTTAGAATATCTTGTAAAATATCAGATCTAATGTCTAAATTAAATAGGCCTACTACTGATACAATAATAACAAGGGGGTGGAAGTTGTTATCAGGTAGATATTCTGAGCCCGGGCTCTAGTGTTAGAATATCTTGTAAAATATCAGATCTAATGTCTAAATTAAATAGGCCTACTACTGATACAATAATAACAAGGGGGTGGAAGTTGTTATCAGGTAGATATTCTGAGCCCGGGCTCTAGTGTTAGAATATCTTGTAAAATATCAGATCTAATGTCTAAAATAAATAGGCCTACTACTGATACAATAATAACAAGGGGGTGGAAGTTGTTATCAGGTAGATATTCTGAGCCCGGGCTCTAGTGTTAGAATATCTTGTAAAATATCAGATCTAATGTCTAAAATAAATAGGCCTACTACTGATACAATAATAACAAGGGGGTGGAAGTTGTAATTAGGTAGATATTCTGAACCCGGGCTCTAGTGTTAGAATATCTTGTAAAATATCAGATCTAATGTATAAAATAAATAGGCCTACTACTGATACAATAATAACAAGGGGGTGGAAGTTGTAATTAGGTAGATATTCTGAACCCGGGCTCTAGTGTTAGAATATCTTGTAAAATATCAGATCTAATGTCTAAAATAAATAGGCCTACTACTGATACAATAATAGCAAGGGGGTGGAAGTTGTTATCAGGTAGATATTCTGAGCCCGGGCTCTAGTGTTAGAATATCTTGTAAAATATCAGATCTAATGTCTAAATTAAATAGGCCTACTACTGATACAATAATAACAAGGGGGTGGAAGTTGTTATCAGGTAGATATTCTGAGCCCGGGCTCTAGTGTTAGAATATCTTGTAAAATATCAGATCTAATGTCTAAAATAAATAGGCCTACTACTGATACAATAATAGCAAGGGGGTGGAAGTTGTTATCAGGTAGATATTCTGAGCCCGGGCTCTAGTGTTAGAATATCTTGTAAAATATCAGATCTAATGTCTAAAATAAATAGGCCTACTACTGATACAATAATAGCAAGGGGGTGGAAGTTGTTATCAGGTAGATATTCTGAGCCCGGGCTCTAGTGTTAGAATATCTTGTAAAATATCAGATCTAATGTCTAAAATAAATAGGCCTACTACTGATACAATAATAGCAAGGGGGTGGAAGTTGTTATCAGGTAGATATTCTGAGCCTGGGCTCTAGTGTTAGAATATCTTGTAAAATATCAGATCTAATGTCTAAAATAAATAGGCCTACTACTGATACAATAATAACAAGGGGGTGGAAGTTGTAATTAGGTAGATATTCTGAGCCCGGGCTCTAGTGTTAGAATATCTTGTAAAATATAGCTTTAATATAGCACCTTTCTTGCTTTTTTTTTTTCGCTTGATAAAGGGATTAGTCCCGAAACATAGGTACATTTATTCTAATATAGTCTTAAATTTTCCTTTTAAACTTGTTAATAACACAATAGTTTTTAGAGAATTGTACATTTTAAAAGAATAGTGAGACATATTGGAACGAAACTAAGACATGACTAGCTGATTTCCCAGGAAAATCCTTTATTGGAAAAACTACTCTAAACATGTGCTTTCCACTTTAAAAATTACAAACCACAAGTCAGAGGTGATTAATAGAATCATCTTTCTCATACAGATTTGTATCACTCAAACTAGAAAACCACAGCTTAGAAATGATATCATAGTATCATAGTTAGTCTGTTTACCAGGACAATATTTAAAGATTCATACCCTCTCTCCAGATTACCAATAAAGATAATAATTGTCATTTAAATTGAGTAATAGAAATGATTTTATTTCTGTTTACTCACTGACTCAATGATAAAAACATCTATAAATAATCACACAATGAGAAATAAAAGAAACTGCTTTATGTTTTACAAATCGTTTCAAAGCGTTTTCATGATTATTATTTCATTATCTTGTTGAAACGTGCAAAACAAAATGTTTTTTTGACCTTCGAATTTTATGTATTATTTAAAGCAGCTATGACGAGTGTTGGGCAAGGCACGGTATGGTAACTCTTCTAGACACCTGATTCCACTTTTCATGAAATATATCTTCATTTATGATTGACATAATTTCTCATATCAATAGTTAATTATCTGCAACCGATTTTTTGCCAAACTCGTTTTGGATTTTGTGGTTCAGATCGTTAGTACAAGTATATGTTTTTTTTTGAAACAACTGATGCCTGACGACCAATATTTTTTACCAATCTTAAAAATCATTTCAGATATGAAAAGAGTAACTTCCATTTAAACAAAAGATTTTCTTTTATTCTGAATATTCTCATACAAGAGTTAAAACAGTCTGACATTATATATGGTACTAATTGTCATGATAACCTTGACTAAAGGAAAAATATCTGATTATCCAGATCCTCTAGGGACAGTTATCTGGTTTATTACATGATCTGATAATGATTATTCTATTTCCCTTTGTTGTTTGATGAATCGTGGGTTGATCCTTGTCTGGGGTTCTGTGTGATGTATTTATATTATATTTATATTAATATTTGTCTTTATACTCTTGATGGTGAATTGAAATTTATGGATTGTATAAATGTGATTTGCAATATCAGATTTAAAACAATACTGATAGTCTGTGAATGACTTTGCTTTAACGAAGTATAAACATAGGCACAAACTTGAAACAATAATAATGAAATCTTTATTAGGGTGAAAATTAGGCCTGGCATTTTCACAATTTCGCCCTTCAAAGAAACACAACATATAAAATACAAAAGAAACAAAAACAAAAAAACTACAATCACTGAAAGCAGTAAAACTCTTAACAGTTCTATATATTTATCATTTATCTGATTATGTTGTTGTATTTTAACAAGCTATTTAAGAGGGATTCAAATTGAATTCAGCCAATTTTTGAGACAGAAGCTGACAGAATGTGAATGATGATTTTT